CTGGTAGTGGTGCTGGTGGTGGTGATGCTGGTAGTGTTGCTGGTGGTGGTGATGCTGGTGGTGGCGATGCTGCTGGTGGTGATTGTGGTGGTGATGGTGGTGGTGGTGCTGGTGGTGGTGCTGGTGGTGGTGCTGCTGGTGGTGGTGATGCTGCTGGTGGTGTGGGGAGCGGTGGTGGTAGCGGTTAGCGTAATGCGCTACGAACCTGGCAACCCGGGTTCGATTCCCACTCACGGCCAACGCCAGTGACGGATTATCTGAACCGGTCCTGGGCATCCCCTAGGTCGACTCAGCCTCAAACGAGTACCTGGTGCGGTGTGTAAACATCGCCACTCAGGAGACAAAGGCGGGCGTGGTTAGTGTGCACTTGCTTGAAGTCATCTTTACCGTGAGTCGCCGCCACCTCGTGGCTATCGTTGCGATGAGTCGGAGTTGTGATGACGCGGATTGCCGTCTGCATGTAAATAATAATATTAATAATGTATAATAATATCCATCTCCCCATGTACATGGTGCAGCCTTGCATGCTTCAGAAAATCAAAGGGCCGTTGATCATCTTCATGACGATTATCTGAACCGGTCCCGGGCCTCCCCTAGGTCGACTCGGTCCTCAAATGGGTAAAGTACTGAGTTGCTATGTGGAACATTGTCGCCACTTGGGGGAGACAAAGACGACCGGGCGTGGCGCTGGCCACGTCATCGCTTCATGCCTGCTTCTTCACACGCACTACTTTGCTAACAGCACTTGCCCCTGCAGTCTGTTCAAGGTTACACGGGGGACCATTGTCTTTGTGGCCTTCAAATGAAAATAAACGTACATAAATATACAGAACCGACGTTTCGGTGGTTGGCCCTTCTTCAGTTATCATCTGCGACCGACATCAAACCTTCGATGATGGACGAGGCGCGAGTGTCCTCATAAGCTCACTCCGGCGACCGCTTGAACTCATACCTGAGATTGAAAACTAATTTCTTCGATTAAAAACACTCATGTATTTACAGCAGACACAAGGTTTTGTGGGGGTTGCGTGCCACTTCCCGAAACGTCTTATAAATCCGGAGAATGTGCTCATTTTTTTCGGTTCAAGTTTGCTTGGTTTCGGCACGACACTAAACGGCTGTTGCTCACGTAATGTCCCTCTGCATATTTTCAGACAGCTTTTTTTTGTAATCAAAACCTTTAGATATATTTTTTTAGGCATATTCTTAGGTTTTTTCGGTAAAGTCACGTAGGTAAAACATCAAAATTAATGAAAATAAAATAAAACAAAAATCACGACGTTTCGGAGGCAACACAAGTCTCCGTCATCAGGTGGGACCGTCACAGCCGAATGATGTTTTACCTACGTGACTTTACCGAAAAAACCTAAGAATATGAATCCTTGCAGTCACGAAAGCTTCAAATCTAGAATTTTTTAGGCATAGTTTTTCCGTAAACGTGAGTTACTGCAAATCCGGGTTTAGTGCCGTTTACGCAACAGTTCCACGTAAAACCATAGTTTTTTCAATTTAAAATGTTAGATAAACTGGTTTGAATCAGTTTTGAAGGCCAAATAATATGGAACAGCGTCCCCTCGTGGTCAACCGTTTTCCTTTCATTTGGTTTTGGTTCTTGTTCAAACATGTTGACACCGCGGTTTACAACAGATGTGTGTGGATTAATGAATTTGTTAATGTGGACTACAGCTCAGTGTTCGTAACGGTAAGCACTTACTGTATGGTTTCATGCTACAAAATGTCATGCTCCTTAATTTCAAATTGACATCATGCCAATAAGTTGCCGACCACTTTGGCAACAACGGTGTCCTAGATGTACATCGTTGTAAAAAAAAGTATTTCTTGCCAAATATTTTTTTTAAAATTGCTAATGGAAACTAACATTCCATAAACCTAACAAAGAACGTGGACATATTAAAAAGTGTAAAAGTTGAATTTGGTTTTCTATTTTCGAAGGAATATAGTTTTCGATCTTAGTTCCATGTTTTGGTTTTAGACATATCTTTGTACACAACTTAATCTGTACAACTTTTTTTTCTCTGTGGGATCGTGCGTCGGCAGTGGTGCATATGCACAAATAACAAAGAACCCAAATACATTCGTCAATAACAATGCACAAAAATAAATATATAATAAGTGATGTCTCAGGCAGTGGTGTGCCTTCTTTATAAAACACAATTTAAATTTGCATATAAATTACCACAAAAAAGTACTTACTACACTACATACTGATTAGTAATACTGTTCTGCCTCACGGCAGGTGTTTGTCTCACGGCAAATGTGGGGGTGTATGTACACAGGAATTTCCTGTTTTTATGCCGAGTTTGGTCACATGACCAGGAAGTTACGATTTTAGATTCCCTCTCAACCACGCGGGTGTCAGCCATTACACAGAGTACAAAATGGAGGCACAAATAACGTCTCGGTGACCACAGGTGCATCTGTTCATTGTGGGACTTTAAGAAGCATTGTCTGTAAGTTCGTTTATGTTCTTATAATACTGGAAATGCTGTTATAATGTTAAAATGACCGTTATAATGCTGTAAATGCCTTTATAATGCTGTTAAATTGTTATGATAAATGAGGCCCAGATACCAACGAAGCATGCCACTTGCCTTATTGTGAATGTTACTTGTAATTGAATAAGTCGAGTCAGACTTGTACCCATGTAACCTTTTTGCGATCTTGAGAGCAAGGATGACGAAAAATCTCATCCACAGTTCAGTGTTGTGTAAGGCTATACATTTAGGGCTGCAGTATGGTGATTACACGATGTGCCCTTAACACAGTAGCTTATTGTCTTGTATAGCTATTCAGTACTAATGTAGGTGCCTGGTCCATCCAGGATATATTGTTGAGTTTCATGTTATCTAAGACAATGTTATGATGCTGTAGTGTTCATTCATTGTATTGATATTTCCGAGTATTAAAAGATGCTGTATTTGTGCTGTGTTTTTCCATGACTTTTACCTCGTTCAATTCATTAAATACGTTTGGAGTCGGATGTTCACCCTGGCTCTGAAGCTTTATTGAATGCGAGGTTATCTACTCGGATAGTGGTGCAACGCAGCGCACAGCGAGGCCGAGACAAATACTCAAACACAAACATCAAATTGAAGAAAAAAATCATGAAATGTATATTCCAATGCTATCAGTAGCCACTGCGTAGATATACAGATAACAATGTTTTGCAGTCGAGACTCAATACTTTGCACACCAATACGGAGCTCAACATCAAGATGTTATCGTAGTCAAGCTGTTGATGCCACCACACCTCACCAATGCCATTTTTAAATCCTTTATATTAAGTTCGCTTGCTTGCTTGCGTGCTTGCTTGCTTAGGACCGTGCAAATCTTTTGGTCGTTTTTTAACCCACTTCCCGTGATCCAATCGAGCTGACATTTTCCACACAGACTCGTTGTTCCAGACAATTAATGTTCGTGAAAAAAAATTCCCAAAATTTTACACTTTTTAGGCAAAAAATAATATTTTACATATATTCAAAAGAACTCATTCTTGGCTTTGGCTGAACATCACAGTATAAGAGCCCAGAGCGTAACCCCTCCACAGGCCGTGGCGGAGTAGCGCAGTTGGTAGCGCCCTCGCTTCCCATGCCAAAGGTCACGGGATCGATCCCCGCGTCCTCCACAGGCGAATATATTTTTTAATCCTTTATATTAAGTTCGCTGCCACGCATATAAAGGATTTATAGTGAAAAACTTTGTTTTTACGGGTTATACTTATTTATCCTCCACAGCTGCTGCACAGTACACATGCAACCTACAAGATCTGCCCTGACAGTATCCCATCATCTGGCATTTCTAGTCTTCCCCCTATGTTACTTGATGCTTGGACAGCACTCCAGACCTGAACTAGCCATTTACGCCACTCCAAACTTATCTCTCCACTCTTCCAAAGTGATGTTCATAGCCCATCCACAACCTGGCCCGGCTAAATGAGCACAAAGAGTCGTAATTCTACTTTATAAGTAGATACAGACCAGAATCTACACGTTAACATCTACATAAAATGCCATGTTAGTTACATCTCGAGTTACAGAAACTGCTTAACTAAAAAAATATATCGATTCCATTTCGATGAGAATGTGTAAAGCAAGCTATATACAATCCTATTAGTTGGATACAATCTACCGGTCATTAATATACACGTGGTCCTATGGCAGAATGCTAAAAGTGTACTCAGGTCATGGGTTAAATTCTCAAGGGTGGTCGACTCAGTCCATCATACTCGAGGGTGCCGATAGAATTAGCGCTTTGCAGGAAGTGCACAATCGTTTCGATAGATTTGTCGCTGGCACGGGAATGTGCAAATTTTAACCCCAAGTTCAGGACTGCCATTGTAGACGAGGCACTGCCCATGCTCACCTGAATATTCGGACCACAATGTCTATAATGATGGGTTATTGCCGGTACACAGGTAGATCTCCACAAATCCACATTCCAATTGTCTGTGAATCCTAAAATGTACGGCACCTCCCACGGTTCACAAAAAAGCTCATAATATTGCAGGGGCGATACTCCTGAAAATCCGAGGGGTTTTTTTTCCCCTGAAGATGTCATTATTTACGTGGAGATGCAGGGAGAAACAGAGATACAAGAGGGGCAGATGGAGACAAGAGTCAAATGGAGCTTTAACGAAGATTGAGATACAGAAACGAATGGAGATAAAAAAAAAAGACACGTAGATCCGGCAACAAGAGGAGAGGCGAGAAACGTCCGGAAAATCAAACAGAGAAAAGACCCACGCGGGGATCGATCCCGCGACCTTTGGCATGGGAAGCGAGGGCGCTACCAACTGCACTACTCCGCCACGGCCTGTGGAGGGGTTACGCTCTGGGCTCTTATACTGTGACGTTCAGCCAAAGTGATGAATGAGTTCTATTTGAATATATGTAAAATATTTTTTTTTGGCCTAAAAAGTATAAAATTTTGGGAATTTTTTTTCATGACCATTAATTGTCTGGCACAACGAGTCTGTGTGGAAAATGTCAGCTCGATTGGATCACGGGAAGTAGGTTAAAAAACGACCGAAAGATTTGCACGGTCGTAAGCAAGCAAGCACGCAAGCAAGCGAACTTAATATAAAGGATTTAAAAATATCGGTGCACAGAGACAAACCAATCAAAGACAGATATACAAAGGCAAACGGAGGTATAGTACATATACAAAGGTGTATCTAGAACAGAAAAAATTGTGCTTACGTTATCTGTGGAATAGTTAAGCATTTCTGCATTACTTTGACTTGGATATTAAGTCTCAACATGCAAAAATCTTTAACTACAGATCTACATCGCAGAATTGGTCAATTCGGCTTTTATATAATAAACATTGAGAAACTCCAACAATCCACTTTTTTTTACAGATTGGAGTCGCAGCAAGTCAGTCCGAGCTGCTCCTGCAGCCCCCGAATAAAAATTGCGGATTAATGGAGTCGCATGGCCAATACCTCTTACAATAAAATTTCGACTGTAATATTATTTCAACTATATTGCATCCACTTGTAAAATGACTTGAGCATTGAGAAAATCTATCTTGAACTACAATTTTAACTCAAGCAATGTGTTTTTTTTCTTTCAACACGGAATGTAAAAGTGATGTGGCAAGTTGCTCTTAATACGCTCTATATGAATGGGCACTTTTTTTGCACACTTTTGCAAAAAAAAAGTACATTTCAAGCTGTGTTCAGTCTTTCTCTGGAGGGTTGCCAAATGACAAAGTGGCGTAAACAATATCGCCTTCGTTCTCAACGCCTCCTCCGTAATTATCGTCGCCAACACCGGCACATTCATCGGCAACATCGGCGCATTCATCCCCATCCCTGCCGTAGCCGGGGCCAGCTCCGTCTTCGTCTCCTGAGGGCCTCGATGCTTGCTCAGGATGGGTGGTCTGACCGTCTGCCGGACCACAGCATGCCTCCACTTGATCTTCCCGCCGAGGGTTCTCCAACACAACTCTTGGCCCCTTGCGCTTTAAATCATAAAGAAAACAATGTATCACTACAATCCTCAACACTGCCAATGACGTAGTGCTGTAAATAAAAAAAAGATGTAAAGTAGGCTAAATAATTTCATCAATTTCCCTTCAAAGCAGCAAGAGGGGAGCAGGGAGCGTTGACATTAGTGGTGATGGCATATTACAATCGTTGTCATCATCAGCCATGATCAATGCACTGTTGGACAAAGTCGCTTTAATGTCAGATAAGTACACAACAGTGTAAGTAAACATTTCCTCCTGCAATAATTTACAACTTAGTCGTAATTTAATTAAGCGTTCCAGTAGATAAAAAAAACATCCATAATATTGGTTTTGGGTTAGATCGCGTAAATATATAAATGTGTCGTTAGAACCTGCCACCACCCGACACAGCCAACTAGTAAGGGTTGTCACGTAAACAGAACGGGTTCTAACGACACATTTATATATTTACGCGATCTAACCCAAAAACCTATATTATGGATGATACTAGTCGTGAAAGCCTACGTGTTAAACCAAAAAAAACACTCCGTCCATCCAATGGAGGGAGGTTCACTGGATTAGTCGTTAGCTCTTTCACAATGAACTGGAACTTGACTTCCACAGGGAACACATAATTTAAATCAAGGATGACGTCTCCGTTCAACCATATACCACTGTACTACCAAGACCTGGGGCCCAAGTACCAAACGGCTTTCGAAATTGCGTAGACCAAGATTTTTCCCAATTCCAATTCCACGTGGGACAGGGTATATAGGCAAGGGGATTTGCGTAATTTTCCATTGGATTGTTGGGGGCAGTAGCGAGCAACCTTGAGTCTGCCTTGCGTACACACACCATCACAAACATGCACACAGACACGCACGTCCACACGAATGTGTGTGTACACACGAGCGTGCACAATCGTATACAAATACTTTCCCCACACATGTATACACTGTCCCAGATAGACAAAGACAGCATCTCCCACAGAGCATTTTAACAGACTGATATCGAGCACGTATGAAGGCCGACATGCTACACGATACACACGTACATAATACACACTCTCTCATGCACACACAAAGACATTCCTGCATACAACAAACTGCCATTCATCACTAAGTGACGATGACATCGCCACGGCACTTGTCCCAAGCTAGATGCACCTTGAGGCCACTTGAAGTGTTGAAGGCTCGTTGGTAGGAGGTCATGGAACAGACTCAGGTGTCATGGGTCGACTGAGATGACTGGCAGATCCATCGCCTGTGGTCCCTACTATGCCAACTTGCTGCGTGCTTTAGCGGCCCGGTGCTCCGCTCGTTGTTGAGAGCTTAGCTCCTCCACTCTCGACTGTTTCTTGAGGGCGACTGCCTCCAACTGTCCACTAGCGTCCTTCATGAGCCCCCTCCACAGAGGACGATTTTTAAACCGCTTGTAACAGTCAGCAAGTCCAACCAGCTCCACATCCTTCTGTACTGCATCAGCTCCCACTGGGATTTTGCACACAGCGTTGGTGTACGGTGTTTTTTCTGCAATATTTTGCTGTCTTCTTGGATTTGCACTCAGTCCCATATTCACTTTTAAGATGTTTTTTTGTTCATGTTTTTGTTTGTTGCGGTTGCACCCGATTCAAGAGCCGAATGGCTCACATGGCTATACCTAATAAATTAACTTGACCTTGAGCTCCATCTATTCTGTAGCTCGTGACACGCCCATTTAGCCCCTTTTACCCGGCCATACAGAAGCTGCTTGGGTATGTGGTGGCTGGGCATGCGGGCTACATGACCCAGCCAACGCAGCCTTGCCTGCCGGAGGAACTCACAATGGACTCTTTTAAGGATCTATGGTCTCCTAAAAACAATCCAGTCTGCTTAAACCCAGGATGGATTGTAGGCAGGGCAGCCTGGATGGTTTAAACTTTCGCAGATGTTTCTTTAAAAGGCTCCAAGTTTCGCAAGCGGAGAGGAGGGAGGGCATAACTATGGCCAAAGAGATCCGGAGCTTCGTATGCAGCTTCCACACAGAATTACGCAGCTGATCACAAGTTGATGCCACTTGATTGATTAGGAGTGAGACCTCTGCTACAAAACCAGAGCTGGTTATAAGCACAATACCCAGGTATGGACAATTCTCCACTCTCTTCACAACTGCCCACCATCACTCATGGGGAGTGGAGGGAGGGAAGGATTTAATTACGTAAAATACCCAGGCAGATGCTTTGTTTTTGTAGGGCTTATAAGACATAGATAACGCGATTGCGTTCATTGTTCGTCAAGTTATGGGTGGCCAATCTCAAATTGAAACCGGAAAAATGTCATCCATTACAAACATCTGTGCCGTATCTGGGCCATATTGTCAGCGCGTCCGGAATAGCCACGGACCCGGACAAGACGGCGTGCGTGCGTGATTGGCCAACCTCCAAAGTTGGTGGGTGAAGTGCGTAGCTTCCTCGGGTTTGCGCCTTATCACCGACGGTTCGTTCCGCATTTCGCGACGATTGCCAAACCGTTACACGCTTTGACCGCAAAAAAACAGAAGTTTCAGTGGGAGGAGGAGGCCGCGTTTGTCACGTTGCGTGATCATCTTGCTAACGTGCCTCCCCTCGGCTATACAAATTTCTCCCTGCCGTTCGTATTAGATACGGATGTCAGTGACACGGGCATAGGAGCTGTCTTGTCCCAGGTAAAAAACGATGGAGAGAGAGTGGTTGCGTATGGTAGCCGCGTGCTGTCTGCCGCGGAGCAACGATACTGTGTGACACGCAGGGAACTTGTGGCCATGGTATATTTCATACAGCAGTATAGGCCGTATCTTTACGGCAGGGACTTCGTTGTGCGCACAGACCATGCGGCTCTCCAATACTCCTTGCGAGTTGACCAGCCGTCCGGCCAGCTTCCACGCTGGCTGTAAATACTGCAGGAGTACTCGTTTAAGGTAATCTCCCGAAAGAATTTAAGAGGCACTGCAACACAGATGCCCTGTCCCGCCTGCCGCTGAGTGTGCGATGCGCGTGCTCGACGGGTGCTGCCAGGTGTACACCACCTGAGGCTGGGTCACCGCATGTTGTGGCGGCGTCAAGTCACGCAGTACCAGCCGAGGTGGTCACACCTGGAGACAGCACATTGGGCCTCACGCACGCCGAGTGGGGACGGCTGCAGGTAGAGGACGTGACACTTTTGAAATTGCGGCGCTGCACTGCGGCGAAAAGCGGAAATTCTGTCACGACGGGAGTGTTCCATATAGTCCTTCATGAAGGACTTTTGATCAGGTGGGATGAGGAGCTGCAGCGCTATTGTACAGTGGTTCCCACCGCCCTGCGGGTAGGGTGACGCGGGTGGTGCACAAAAATAAGTTAATGCATCTCGGAGCCCGGAAAACGTTGCTGATGCTACAGCGAAATTTTTATTGGCCGGGTATGTCAGACGATGTGTACCGCCTGGTCAAGGGCTGCACTGATTGCGCGCCGCAAACCACCGTTGAGAAAGGCTCAGCCTCCATTGCAGTCCATCACAGTGTCCCGAATTAACGAGCTGGTTGCGTTGACATTCTGGAGCCGTTTCCGGCTACCCAGAAGGGAAATAAATTCCTCTGGGTCGGTGTGGAATATTTTTCCCGGTGGCCAATGGCTTGCCCCCTACCAGACCAATCACCCGCATCCATTGCCGATGCATTTTTGCATAGCTACGTGATGGAGAAGGGAGTGCCTGAGCAGCTTCTCACGGATCAGGGGCGGAATTTCTCGTCGACACTGCTGCGGGAGGTATGCAATGCTTTGGGTACCAAAAAGATCAGAATGTCACCATACCATCCTCAAACGGATGGCATGGTAAAACGCCTGCACAGGACCGATGGTCTGTTAGGCAGCTAATGAGTTGCAAACGGACTGGGATTTGCACGTCCCATGGGTCCTAGTGGCATACAGGATGACCTCACATGCCACGATGGAATTTTCCCCGTTATATCTTATGTACGGGCGAGAGAACGAACCCCGCATGGAAGCTCAATTGGGCATGGCTTTGGGGAAAAAGGAAGGCCACCATGCCTGCGCCCATGCAGGTCATGCTTGTATGATTGTTCGAGGCGCGTGAAAAGCAGCGAGGGAAAATTACGCCAAAAAGCAGGCTGCAAATGAAAAGAGCACGGGGCAGCATGAGTACTTGCTTCCATGAAAAATTGAGGACAGGACTAGGTTACACTACCTACAGGTACCACTGGGTACGTACCCCAAATTACATCGGCCATGGCGAGGTCCCGTTGAAGTGGTGAAAATTAAAAGGCCACATTGTGTGTGGATACAGGCAGGGTGTCGCCGTTAGTTTGTACACCCGTCACGTCTGAAGCCCTATGTTCATCCCCAGATAGACAGCTCATCCCCAAGTCCCATACAGCTGGTGTCTGATGTGTCCGACGAGCCGGGGCAGCCGGTCCCGAACTGTGCTTCAGAAAGATTGCGTTGTGCCGCCCAGAGGATCCGAGCCTCTGAAGCCTGGAAATTCTCCTGAAGCCGCCTCTTGCGAAGGACCGGAGAAGGGGGGCGTGGCCAGGGCGGAGCGAGGCCACACTGCTAGGATAAAAGGGGCCGAGAGCCATAGCTCGAGGCTGTTTGTGGTAATCGGATTGTCTTGTCACCATCGTCGCTGCCGTCTCTGTCATCGCTCGACATCGCGCTGCTAGATAGCCTGCCTTAGTTAGCGCCGTCGATGTTAGACGGCTAGTGTTGTATCAAGTGTGTGTAGTTGAGATCGTGTGTGTTAATAAAAGGTGCCTTCACAATTATCGTCTCCGAAGTCCTGTACTACATTTGTATCCTCAAGACGAGCCACAAGAAATGCGCCTTATTTTTCTCCGCATCTTTTACATTATTTAACCTTTTGAAAGAAAGTAATGCAACAATCTTGATTTGAAGCTTTCGTGACTGCAGGAATCCATACTCTTTGGTTCTTTCGGTAAAGTCACGTAGGTAGAAAAATAATAGATCACAATGTTTCGATCGCAACACAAGCAATCGTCATCAGGTGGGACAACCACAGCAAGAAAAAACTGCTGAAGTAGGTGAGATGGCCTGCCAGCACTGAACCAATTTCTCAAACACATCAATTCCATACACCCATCTATCAAATTCACCATGGAAGTGGAAAAGGATGGCAAGCTACTGTAATAACAGCCATAGAGGGTTCACGTGGGGATTGGCTTGCCGGTCCTGCTTTGTAGCCAATAAGGGATGAGCCAGGGAGCATGGCCTCGGCGTGATCGCGGCATGTTAGCAGGGGTGATTGGCTGCGCCAATCGGGGCCTCAGCTAATGGGGAGCCGGATCAGAGGCGTGGTCCCGGGATTGACAGGGAACCATCGGGAACGGTCAACGCTGTCTATGGAGGATTGGCTGGGGGGTATCACGTGATGAAGGGATTAAGAGAGAGAGAGAGCAGTCGAGAGCAGACTTGGAAACGAGAAGAGCGGGAGTCACGCGCGTATGGGGGCTCTGGGTGCCACGTGCGCGGTGGGGACTTGGCGGGAAGTCTGCCCTCTCTCCGTTGTCTGCCAGCAACGGAGAGTGTGTGTGTAAAGTGTAACTGTGGAAGTTGAAAATAAAAAGGACTGATTCCGGAAGCCGTCTCAAGAAGGTTTATTACACTACCATTCCTGGATGTTTTGATCAAAAGAGACCTGATGGCTCGTTGGGACACTGTCTACAGGAAAGCCACCCACATGGATGCCTATCTAAAACCTGACTCCCTCCACCATCCAGCCCAGAAGAATTCCCTCATCAAAACACTACACCATAGGGCACGTTGCATCTCTGACCAGCATCACCTAGCCAGTGAGCTGGAGCATGTACACTAAGCCCTCAGGATGAACGGATATTCTGACCATACAATCCGCAAAGCTGTCTCCCCAGCCATGTGGAGACAACCTTCTGATGATTCAACAAAAACCATCACTTTACCGTACATAGCAGGGGTTACCAAAAAGATTTCCAAAATCTTAAACAAACCCAAGATCCAGGTACGTTTCAACACAGTACACAGCATCCGTGATTTTATCCCATCTGTAATGGATGTGATTCCTGATATACAATACCCGGGTGTCTACCAACTGAGTTGTGGCTGCGGCAGCAGTTACATTGGGGAAACTAAATGTCTCGGACCGCGTTCGTGAACACAAGGCAGATCTGAAACACGGTAGGACCAATACCTCTGCCGTTGCTGATCATTGTTTTAACGCAGTGGGCTCACACGAAATTGACTTTTCTAAGACGAAGGTACTCTGCAAACCCACCGGCTATTATCAGAGATTTGTTCATGAAGCCATCCAGATATATAAACACAGACACAACTTCAACCGAGAAAATGGGTACAAACTGACCAACCATTGGAAGGAAGTTATTAACCAGGTAAAGTATTAACTGACTGAAATGTTTCCATCCTACCTGCCTATGTCAGCTGTTATTTCCGACTCTGTGTCTTTCTCTCTCTCTCTGCATCTCTCTCCGATCTCTACTCCAGTGACCCAGGTGCTGCTGCGGGCTCCACTTTCTGCCCCCCCTCTTTCCCCCCCTTCTTTCTCCCTCCCTGCAGCCAACCTCTCCAGTGCTGCCGCGGTGGTCCACTTTACTCCAGTGACCCGGGTGCTGCCACGGGGTCTACTTTCTGCCCCGCCTCCCCCCCCTCTCTCTCCCCCCCTACTGCCGAGGCCTATATAACCTCCTGCCATGGCAGATCTCTCGCCTACTTCAGCAGTTTTTTCTTGCTGTGGTTGTCCCACCTGATGACGATTGCTTGTGCTGCGATCGAAACGTTGTGATCTATTTTTTTTCTACCAACGTGACTTTACCGAAAAAACCGAAGAGTGGAATGAACTAACAATGTATATACGGTATATTCATCACCACGTGGAATCTATAACTGGATGGCTCGCCTGAATTATGGGAAATTGCAGAATTCTAGAAATGCAGTCTCTACGTGTCATACTTGATTTTGAGGTCTCCGAGTGGACGATCGATGTTCAAACAGGGTCCCTAATTTGCTGTCCCACTCCACAACACAATAACACCGCACACATGGAATGAGAACTCACCATGAAGCTGACTTTGCTGTAGGTTACCGCGTTCTCGTTTTCCAAGGTCCTGGGCTGTTTCTGTGGTAGAGTGCTGGGGACTGTATCTGTTGCGTCTGGTGATGCGTGAATGGAGAATTCAGAATTATCGACAGTTATAATTGAACACGATCCTTCTAAGATATACAAAAAAAAGTATTGCAAAATGTGTCTGCGGTAATCTATGCCGTACTGTATATAATGCACAATTGCACAGACTTCTAATATAAAAGCCCGGCGTTCCGTTTGTCCGTCAATTAAATGATAAGAGCCTTTCAGAATTCCTGAATCAAAAAAAATTATGAAAGTGGACCCCCTACCCCCTAAATGTGGGGGTAAAAAGTTGATCCAACAGATTTACAAAATTGGCGGCTAACCACCCTCCCCCCCCAAAAAAAAAGCCCTCTGTAGGAGCTAGAATAAGGCAGTAGTAGGCCACTGCAATTTTTGTTATTTAACGTTTAACTGGAAAATACATAAACATGCAAAGAAGACCAAATAAAATATTGAACTTTTAAAACAGTAAATGCGTGCAAATTGTAACTATGCGTCCGCTGTGAGATGTCAACCACTTTTAAACATCCAGGTTATTCAGCTCTGAGGCATATACATTTTCGGGATATACTACGGGACGAAATATATCTCAAAATATCGGGAACAAGGAAGGGTACGACGTTAATGTGTCGTCTTGAGCAGTGTATTATTATCGTTGCACAAATGACCAAAAAAATATTGACTTTCAGTGTCCTAGAAATATTTAGAGATATCGCAGAGCATGCAGCCACGACTGAAGGAATACAATCCCAGAAAAAAACCGTGGCAGGTGGCAAAAACCCGAGTTTTATGCACCGTTAATGACTTAAGAGGAAGGCCTTGGTACATTTTGGGCCCCTTCTAGGAGGCACTTGACACGCATGAGGAAGTGGTGTCTTAGCAATGGACATCGTGGGGGGCCCGGGGGGGGGCAGGGGGATTAGTCAACATTGAGGGGGTTTCCGTGATTGAGCACCCCCCTGCCCCACTGCATATATATTCACTTTAAGATATTTTCTTGTTCATGTTTTTGTTTTTTGTTTGTTGCGGTTGCACCCGATTCAAGAGCCGAATGGCTCACAGGGCTATACCTAATAAATGAACTTGAATTCAGCCCTCACATTTAAGGATAGCGATTCGATTAAACGATGTTTTTTTTCTCACATTGTGTGATGAATGTGGCGTAAGAATAATCAATATGAAAAATAATTACGAATCCAGGAAAGGCAAACTGAGTACAATGGCTTTCTTTCAGGAGGGCCCCTGGCTTTAGACCCATAGAATAGAATGCGTGTAATGTTTACGTGTTTAATTTTACGCTGATTTTGGCCAATTTATAACTGTTCATACAAGGTGAGAGGAAACAACCTGATCAATCGGAGGAAATGTGGTGCCACAGCGACGGGGCCGCTCTGCCGAGCCAGGGAGCCGCCCGGCTTCCCCCACCGCACTGCCCCCAATCACCCGCCCCACATAAGCACACACCCGCACGCATCCCCCCCCCCCCCCCCCCCCCATAGAGCTGGAAGGGAAGGTTACCCGATCGACCGGTTTTTATCCGAGAGACCCTTATCGGGATTAATTCTCACGGTTTCCGGCGATCAGGGAATTGGATGACCTCCCCCGTGCTACGTGGTACCGCGGCGCTGCTGCCGGCCTTAATATGGTATGGTCGCGGCGTGGGGCATTCGGCCACCGCGGTTGAGGCGCATTTCCCCCCACACACACCCCCACGAGTCGACGGGGCAAGCAGGGGAGGCACGGGACAGCATGAATAGCGGGGTCACAGGGGCTGTTGCGCATAGTCATGGAGGGTTGGGATAATTGCGCTTGAGCGCGCAAGCCCCATTGTTAGGAAGGGTAAGGGAGTAATTAGGATTTACGCCTTGCACGCAGCACACTGATTAGCATATCAACAGCGCCTGGGGACTGCCGTGCGCGGGCTTGGGGTGCACGAGCCCATTGTTCAGCGCAGCATCCCCTTTGGGAGGTAGGGAGGATAAATAGAGGAGCGCAGAGGGGAAATCTCTCTCTTACTCCAGCGCCAGGCGACCAGACGCAGCTCGAGCCAGCGACCCGGACGTCCGTGCGACGCACCGAGGCACGCGGTTAACAGAAGGATCAGCAGTGAGTAAGAAGGGGAATTAGAATCATAGCCGATAAATAGGGAATAGGTACAGGTTTAGTGGAATAGGCCAGCCTCGTCGACTCACTGATTCAACATCAATTCGCAGGTGGCATATAATAAATCATTAATAGCGAAGCGTGGTCTCGCGTGATCTTGTCGTGCAGTGTGAGCGTGTGGGTGCGCTGTGTGCATAGTGGTTCGCCACGTGAGTGAGCGCTGCGCGGAGCTGAGCGCGCGGGTTGCGTGTGGGAACGCGTGTGGCACTGTGTGTGCGTAAGCTCGCGGCGTGCGTAATAGGCGTACCCCAGGTGCGCGATCATAACGCAAGCGGCCAGCAGACGGCGAGCGCTGCGCAGAGTGGCGCAAGAGTGGGTGTCGCGTGTGTTCACTCCGTGTGTGATACAGGTGCGCGATCATAACTTGCGTAGTTGGTGTGGAGTTGGAGTGCACGGAGCGGCGTGTGTGTGTGTGCATACGTTCGTTACATGTCGGATACGGATGCGCATTGGTAACGTGCCGCACAGGGCTATACTGCGAGCACGGCGTTTGATTGACGATGATGTGCGCACGTATGCTCGCAGCGTGGGAGCGCGGCGCGAGGCTGTAACAGTAGGGGCGTCGCATTCGAATGCCGGCGAAACCGTAGCGGGTAATAGGGAGGTGGGGTAACGTAAACGGAATAGGGGATGCAGGCGGGAGGGACCCCGGGGGCCAACGGCCCCCACAAATTGGTGTCGGAAGCGGTACGGACCCCCGCGTTACCTCACGCTAAAATAAGACTAATATTTACCGGCCGGGGGGCCCCTTCGTGGAAGGCATTCGCCCGCAATCTCTTAGGGGCCAAGGAAATTAATGGGTGGACGGACGCGCAGGCAGTACGTCAACTTAATATGAATCTTGATGGGCGGGCAGCCGATTTTGTAGAAGCGTTACCCGCGAGCGCACAGACACAGCTAGAGGAGCTGATGCACCGACTCGATCAGCGCTTTGGCACGCGTGACGAGGAGGAAGCAAAATCGGCCTTAGAGGCGCGCCGGCGCCAACCTGGCGAAGATCTACGTGATTACGCCGAGGATGTGCGCGAGTTAATAAAGATCGCACGCCCGGGGTACGCAACTGATGTTATTGAGGAACTGGCCGCCGAGAAAATCCAGCGGTACCTGTCTCGCACGGCGTGGTGGCAGCCAGACATGAGCTGCCCACGTCTTCCCTTTAACACCCTTGTCGAGCGCGCACGTAAGTGTGAAAGAATTCACAGCGAACGCGCGCAGCTCCGGGGGCTGGGACGAGAGCGCGCCATTGCGAGCCTGCTCTCGGAAGACGAGGAGGAGGAACAGGAGCTCGCGAGGAAGGTAAGGGGCCGGGAAAGAGAGCCTCCAGTGTCCCGCGAGACAACCCCGGGATGGGTTGCCGGTATACAAACGGGTATAAAGGATGTCTCCGGCCAGGTAAACCAGGTACGCGAGGACGCAAATAAAAATATGAAGACCCTCCAGTCTGAGATGGGTGAACTACGCTCGACAGTAGGGGGACTAGCCGGGAGGGTGTCCCAATTAGAGGCCGATTTGGGACAACTGCGTACTGGGAGAGGGAGCGGACAGGGGACCCGCTACGGAGCCGCCACCCCTCCCCGGGCGTGTTATGTGTGCGATCGGCGAGGGCATCTCAGGAGGGACTGTCCTCAGGTCGCCCGAGCTAGACAAGAGCTAAGGTCAAACACTAAGGCCCCCCTAGAGAGGGGACCACCGGGGGGTGAAATCCACGTAGCCCCGACACAAACAAGCTGTGAGAATAATGGCGAGCGAGTGATCTCCACACAGGTTCCAGCAACAACGCCCACGGAAACGGTGACTCCTGGCGACTGGCTACGGGAGCTGGTGGCGGGGATCACGGGGGCCACGTCGCTGGTGGAAGGGGAGGTAAACGGAGTGCGTACCCGAATCCTGCTGGACACGGGGGCGGTGGCCTCGCTCGTGAGCGCAGCGCACTGCAGCGCGATCGGGGTCGACGTGCGTCACCTGCAGGCCCCGGACCGCGCGCTGCACACTGCGAGCGGAGCCGGAATGGGGCTGCTGGGGAAAGCCACCCTAGAGGTCCGCATAGGCAGCCAGGTGTGCACGCAGGAGTTCTACGTGTCGAGTGCGTTGTGTCACGAGTGTATCGCAGGCACCGACCTCCTAGAACGGTTGGGACTCAACGTGCAACCCCGCCAGCGATGCGCCACCATGGAGAGCAACGGCGAGCGGATACCGTTCCTGGGACGAGAACCAACGCGCCGCCGCTTTGCACCTGTGGCCGCTATCCTGGCGACGGCAGTCACCATCGGCCCGCTCACCGAGATGCTGGTGCCGGTGGCAACATCCCCCACCGACCCCGCGCTCCGACCATCAGGGGAGGTAATGCTAACTCCTCACCCGGAGTTGGCAAAACGGTATGGGGTTGTGGGATCCGCCACGTTGGTAAACGCAGATGGGGACCGATTGTTTATGCGGATGTTTAACCCCCACAATACCCCCGCGATACTGCGACGGCGCACCCCGATAGCCACAGTACACCCCCTGCACGCACGCCACTCTAACGACTCGGTGTTCGCACTCTGGGCTGAGGACCCCGGTCGTCCTGAGGGTGAGCAGGACCTGGCCTGGCGAGTCGGCCCGACTCCCCGAGCCGAGGTCGTTCCCCTGCTCGACGCGTTACATGTACCATGGGCGGACTTACCTAAGGGAGAGGCCGATCGGCTGCGCGAGTTACTGCGGGAGTATGCCGACGTGTTCAGCGAACACGACTCGGACGTGGGTCGGACCGACCTTGTTAAGCATCAAATTGACACCGGTGCAGCCCGACCCATCAAACTCCCTGCGTACCGAGTGGGCGCACCCGAACGCGCCCAAATCAAAGAGGCAGTTGGGGACATGC